GAACTCTATAAAATCAAAAGCTCTAGGTGCTGATGATATATCCATAGAAATGATAAAATCTGTTAGCCCATATGCAATAGGAGCAATTACACACTTATTAAATATGAGCCTGTCTTCTGGTGTTTTTCCTAACAGTTGGAAGATTGCCTACGTGAAACCTTTGCATAAAGTTACTGCGCCAAAAACAATCCAGCAGCTAAGACCGATATCTGTGTTACCTGCAATTTCAAAGATACTAGAGAAGATAGTAACCGAACAAATTGCTTTATTTCTAGATGAGTATAATATACTGCCTAAGCTACAGTCAGGGTTCAGAAAAAACCACAGCATGTGTACTGCACTGACTAATATGTTTGCCGATCTATTTGAAGCCAAAGACAAAGGACTCTACAGCACATTAGCTATCTTAGATTATTCTCAAGCATTCGACTCTATTGATCATGAATTATTATTGGCAAAAATGAAGTACTATGGTTGCAGCGAAAAGGTTGTATGTTGGTTTCGGTCATATTTGGAGTCCCGACTGCAGGTTACTAAAATTGGGAGTGGGACATCAGATCCGCTTTGCAAATTGCGAGGTGTTCCTCAAGGTAGTTGTTTAGGCCCTGTGCTGTTCAATTTATACACGTCTGACTTGCCCAGAAGTGTAAATTATTGTACAGCACACTTGTATGCTGATGACTGCCAACTACACTTGTCTTACAAGCCAGACATGACATCCGCAGCAATTGGACTCATCAATGCTGATTTGCATAGCATTTTTCAATGGTCTGTCATGAATGGCCTTGGACTGAGCGTTGACAAGTGTGTTGTCATGCATACTGGACCACATATTCTAATGCAGGAGTTGAGAAAATCTGACATTGAAGTCACCCTTGATGGCATGGGATTGTCTGTTTGTGACACTGTCAACACGGGTGTTGTACTTGACAAGGACCTCTCTTTTTCTGACCACGTCACATCTGCAGTCCAACGTGCAGTGGGAAGATTGAGAGGTCTTAGCAGATTTAAAACTCTCCTGCCAGAATATGCCAAAACGCAACTCATGCGGTCCTTGGTCCTTCCAGCCTTCACATATTGCTTTCCTGCATATGGAAACAGCATCTCTAAGGAGGACATGGCAAGAGTTCAGAGAATTCAAAATTCTGCCATAAGGTTCATTTTTGGCCTTAGTCGCTTTGACCACGTGTCCTCCTACCGAGATGCTGCTAAGCTCATCCCAATGGATGACATGTGCAGAAAGCTGACCTGCTGCCTGGTCCACAAAGTGCTCACGCTGGGAGAGCCTCATTACCTCAGTGAGAGGCTGAAGTACAGGAGGGAGATAGCTGTCTACATAGTACTCGCTCTGACCTCAGGCTTCACTTTCCTAAAGTTAGGCTTGAGGCTGGAAGAAGGTCTTTTTCTTATTTCGGCCCGCAGTTGTACAATGGCCTCCCTCAAGTGATTAAGGGATTGAAATCTTATAACTCATTCAGGGCCGCAATGAAAAAAACAAGTGTAAAATTTATGTTTTAAATCATTCTGTTTACATTTCTTGTATATACTTATGTAAATATATTAGGATAGTTTAGATTTAGTGACTTGAGTTAGTTTGAAAAACATGTATCATGAAACTCGCTCGTAAATAAAGGCATTTTTGTTTATTTATTTATCTTTTGCTACAGTGGGCATTTTTAAAATGGCCAAACTTAAAGTTGTGGGCGTCATAATCGTTTAAATTAAACTTAATCTATATTATATCCAGTATCGGTCCGATTATTTTATGATACATGGCTGGATTAAATCATGCGGATCCCCGCAGGAGGGGGACATAAAAGTGAGCCCTGAGATATAATTAAATTTTTAAAACATTTTGTAAAGTTTAAAATCTGCAGGGTGCTACATTTGTCAGAAATAAGCCTGCTTATTTTATGTATAGTAATAATTTAAGTATTGTAATGTTAAACAGAAAGAAAAAAGGTGAAGATTTAACAGAACCTCAATAAATACAAGTTTTGATTTAAACCTGATAAAAAAGTGAAAAACTTAATTGCCTCAAAATGTTTACCTGTTGTCAGTAGGTATAAAATAAATAAAGTCAAATAACAACAAAGTGTGTACTGTAAAGTCAAGTAAAGTAAAATACCTAAAATATCTGAAAATCATCCTAATCACCTGCTTCTAAACCTTAAGGTCAATAGTACCGCTACCTATACGAAAATAACTCCGCATGCTTAATTTAAAAGTAAACTAATTTTTGTTCATTGAAATATTTTTAAGTTAGATCCAGATTTGTTGATAAATATAAACTAACTAATGTTTTAATCGTATTTGCTGAATGTTCAAAATGCTGAACAGAAAGTTAAAATATAGCAATTTTATAGCAGTTAATGGATAATAATTGAATATTATATAATTATTATATTAGGCCCTACAATAGTTTTATCTAAATTATTTTTTTAAACACCGGTACCGGTAATAGAGACAGATATTATACATCTATACTGTATATATTATTTGGTATTACAAATTTAAATTATACATGCAAAAATAAGTCGAAAATGTTGAATAACTTTTTTTCAATTTCGGCTTAATTTAGCCACAATCCGCCATTTTGTAATTTTTTGAAAATAATTATTAACTCAAAAGCCCTTGATGGAGATATTTTTATAAAACTTGGTATACATTTTAAGTGGACAGGTATAAACATTCTCCGAAAATATCTTTGATCAGGCTCATCAAATTTAAAAAAATGGCAGCCATTTAAAATTTGTAAAGTTAAATTCCATGAAAACCAGCCATTAAAACAAAATTTTAAATGGCCACCATTTCGAAATTTGATGAGCCCGATCAAAGATATTTTCGGAGAATGTTTATACCTGTAGACTTTAAGTTTGTACCAAGTTTCATAAAAATATCTCCATCAAGGGCTTTTGAGTTAATAATTATTTTCAAAAAAATTACAAAATGGTGGATTATGGCTAAACTAAGCCGAAATCTAAAAAAGGTTATTTCACATTTTCGACTTAATTTTTAAATATAGAATCTGAACATATATAGCCCTCTATCATCTTTAATGCTGCATTATCTTTAATGCCGTTGATAAAGATCGAGATCAAGAGTGGGCCAACATGAGAACCTTGCGGGACGCCGGAACTCGCGACGAAGCTAGCAGAGACGTGGGACTGAAAGACAACAGCCAGACGGCGATCAGAAAGATAGCTCTCAAACCATCGAAGCATCGTGCCAACAACGCCATAGCCCTCCAGCTTAGCAAGAAGATGACGGTGACTAAAATTGTCAAAGGCTTTGCTGAAATCCATGTATATAGCACCATCTTGGCATCGTCGATAGAAGGCATCCATGACTTGGCACTGGCGAGAGAAGGTTATGGTAACAGTAGAGCGGCCAGACCAGAGGTGAATCCTTTTTGTTTGTCTATCAACACTTGTCTGAACAAGGGCTGAACTGATTAGGCCTTAGAACACTTTGCTAATAACTGACAAAAGGACAAATTAGCCTATAGTTCATAACGTCGCGCCGCGACTCGCGGTTGTCTCCTGACTTAAATATGGGGACGACAAAACCATTCTTCAGGACAGATGGAAAAGTGCCAGGGGACAGACTACGGTTAAACAAGTATTGGAGTAGAAAGGCTAATTCAGAGTGGCAGAATTGAAGCTCTCCTGGAGTTATATCATCTGCCCCACTTCCCTTGGTTGCGTCCAATTCGGGGATAATGAAGGGGGAGTTGAAAGTTGAACACAACACACTGCACAGGCAGTTAGTTCACCATGGTGAGCGGGAGAGTAGACAAGTCAGCGAGAGTTGACACGACTCCACATGATTAGAAGCCTCTAATACGAAAACTTTTAACTGTTACGACGATCTTCTAATTTTTTTTACTAAGGTCTCCCCAATTAATGCAATATTAAATAAATGTCTATGAGGATAATGGATTGGGATCGATGAACTGAACAGTCACAGTAATTTCGTAACAATAATAATCAAGTACAATTATTATTGCATTATTGTACTTGATTATTGTTAAAACAATAAGCATATATTAAGTACTAGCTGTACCCGCGGGCTTTGCCCCGTTTAACTTTATAAGTAAGCTCGTTCGCATGGCTCAATCACGTCCTGGTTGAAGTTTGTTCGCTACGCTCACTCACCTTTTGGTTGCAAATTAGCTGTTGTCATAAATGTAAAAGAAATAATAGTGCTGCACCCGGTTGGTAATCCTTGTAACTTTAATGCTATTGAACATCATAGAACAGAACCAAACTTGTTTAATTGAAACAGCTGTTAAGAGTCATTAATTCCATATGAGTACTCATAAGGTTAACATGGGAAACTCCAGAGCCACTGGGGCGGAGCCCGAGAGTCAGATCAGAATAAAAACAGCTTAGTTTTCCTATTTAATGCCTAAAGAATCAGTGTACCAAATTTCAGCCTCCTAGGTAAATGGGAAGTAAGAGAATTAGTGATGAGTGAGTGAGTCAGTCAGTCAGTGAGGGCTTTGCCTTTTATATATATAGATGATCTTTAACATAATCCTTGTACCATCTACCATTCAATGTCAATTATATATAAGCTAGTGTATATACAGGTTTAGTTTAACTGGTGCAGATATTTAAGCTTATTTGATAAATTAAGATATATTCAATTTGGAAAATCAAGTGCTATATTTAATATCTTTAACAGCCACAAAATTTTTTTATTAATATTATAAGAATTAAACCTCCTATATAACAATTATCATAATTAGGCTTAAACAAACTTGTAAAATTTAATGTCATATTATTCTTTGTTTTACATCAGACTACAATGTGTAGTAAGATTTCAATTTTTTAAATAAATTTGAATTTATATATACAATTTACACAATGGAATAACCGACATATTTTATTACATTATAATGTAGGTTATTTGTAACATTTTTTCGTTGCAATAGTGTATGTTGGTAGTTGGTAAACTTGCTCAATTCCAATTCCAAATTTCCAATCCAATTGATGGTGAATTATTGTTTGTTACCTTGGAGGTGGTATGTCAATTGTGCTTGTCTTTTATGTAGAGTAATTTCCAAGGTTTATAGTATTCGTCAACAACTGAGAGTTAGTGACATATTTATTTAAAACATTTTAAATAATATTCTGAAGAAAACTGTATGTCCTGATAATAATCTGTGGTTTCTCGGAAAGGTTTACGTCATCGCAAGATCTCCCCACCCATTGTTCAGTGCCAGTGTTATTTTGACATAAAACTTCAAAATGCAAGCTATTAAGTGTGTTGTGGTTGGAGATGGGTAAGTTTAAAGAAGTATTTAATTGTAAGAGTGTAAATTAGTATTGTAGTACTGTTTCTGCTTGTTTAACAGCCGAAGATATTAGCCTATGTACTATCTGTCAAAGACCAGCTTAGTTAAGGTTAGTTCATTGACAACCTTGAATGCTAGTTAGTTGCATTTCCTATTTGCTATCTCATTTGTTATTCATGTTTGTACATTCTAAATTTGTTATTTTGTTTCATTAGTACTGTACCTAAACAAGTACCGTACTACTCGTAGTGCTTTTCTTTTCCTGTTGGAAAATTTTATTTAGGCTTCCAAGGTAACTTTTTGTAATTTTAGCAATATAGCCTAGCTAGGCTACATAAAGTTTCCGCTTTCTTTCCATAGCAGGGTAGACTTTTCTCTTAAAAGTCTTGAAAGCGCAGCTTGATCTTAAGTTAATCTTTTTCTGTATAGGCTAGTCTACGCTATCCTAAATTGATTTGATGGGAAAAACAACAGTTGTAGGCTCAACCCCAGAAGTCAAGAGTTAACTTAGGCCTACCAAAATTTTAATTTAGCCACCAACCCTTTTCTTTTATATAGTTAATGTTCATTTAACTTAATTTTGCATATGTCTAGTATACCTGTGAGTTTTACCGTTTGGTTATACTTAGTTTTAAATACCTTGGTAGGTTAAACAGCACGGCCACACACAATAATCTGGTTGATAGAGTGGTCGCAGTTTGAACACAAATTTCATACAAGCAATACCAATATTTTTGTCTTAACCCTCCGAGTGTCCCTTGTTTTGGCCTTAATGTCTGCCTATTTTTTTCTCATTTGCAATGTTTTATTAAAACGGATCTGAGAAGCTTGAAAACAATGTTAATTATACTGTTCTATATACCATTTTGTTTGGAAAATCATGGGCTTCAATATTATACATAGAACATAAGGAAAATTTGTTTCAAAAAAATTTTTTAGGTAAAAAAAAATATTTTGGAAAAAAAAATAAGTTTGCGCTCAATGAAATTGTATAAATTATAGGCCTATAAATATTTGAAAATAGCCACTTAGTTCTAAATTTTATGAGGATTACAAATATATAATAATATAAGGAAGTAGATTTGCAAATAAATAAGTTATGGGCAAAAAACTGATTTCAGTACATAGCGTTTAGCTAAGAATGCATAGCCTAACCATAGCTAGGAATCTGGCTGATAATTTACATCAATATCACTACCTACTTCTTCAGGATCATCAACCAGCCCTTCAAAATCACTTAAATCTTCTTATAATGCACCACGTATCACTACTTTTGATTTTTAACACTAAAAAAATGATAAACGTAATAAACACATCAGTCATCGGTCCGAGGTTAACCAAGCTGTTTACAAATACGCACGTCAGCTGTCTGCTACAATATTTTCAGAACTAAAATGAATAGTGCTTAGAGACAGACCTCCGGAGAAAGCTCTGAATCTGTAAAATACCGATCTAGTTCAATCCGATTTTGTCAGTCATAGAGCCTTCGCCGTAAACAGTGTTTGTGAGTCGCTGCAGCGACACAAAACACTACACAAAGTGTGTTATGTGTCGCTGCAGCGACAAATAACACTCGGAGGGTTAACCTAACTTGTTAACTTACACATTAAACTTAGAAGTTTGCTGGGTAGGCCTACAAGGGATAAGTTAACTTAGCCTAGAGAAATTGAAGCAACCCCTTTCCCTATTCCATTCAGAAAGGGAACATTTATGTTATATCACCAGTCACAGCAAATTTGGGTAGCCTAGCTTTTAACTTTGAGACGTTAAGTGCATTCCTCTTCTTTATTTCAAGTCAGTTTCCAAGTTCTAATCAAATCAAGTTTAGTTTTAGTTCTGTTAAGTTTTACTTAGGGTTGCCATATCCCCGGATTTCCCCGGAGATTACAGGATTTTCACTTTCAAAATTTAGCTCCGGGAGATTTCTGCAAAAAGTGAGAAATCTCCTCTTTTAGCGAATTTCCCATACCGGTATAGGGAATTTTTAAAAGCTACCTATTAGGTACCGTAGTACTCATGGTAAGACCTGGACCCGGGGCCGATTTACTCATTTTGAGGTCCCTAGAGGCCAAAAACACCATCTGTTCAAATTCATATACAGGGTGTCCCGGAACTCTCTACCAATATTTTAGGGCATTGTTCCTGGGTAAGAAACATATCTAAATATCATATTTAAATTGTCCGGAAGTCCTTAGTTACTCAGATAGCCGCCATTTTGTTTTTTCACTTATTAATTTTTTTCTGAAAATTGGTTAAACATACGAAGTTGAAACTTTGCACAAACATTTATGACAACTAGACAAAGCTACAAAAAAATTATGACGATTTTTCAAATTCATAAAACAAAATGGCGGCTGTTTAAAATTTTGTTTCTTAAATTACTCAAAAACCTTTGATGTTACAAAAATTTTACAAGGATAACTTTTTTAAGGAAATTTTATTACAAATCGATCGACACCTTAATCTTTAAGATCGGACGAGTATTAACTGAGATATGGCAGTTTTAGTGATACATGACCGCTTTCAGCATGCGCTGCAACGTATCCGGCGGTCACGTATCACTAAAACTGCCATATCTCAGTTAATACTCGTCCAATCTTAAAGATTAAGGTGTCGATCGATTTGTAATAAAATTGTCTTAAAAAAGTTATTCTTGTAAAATTTTTCTAACATCAACGGTTTTCGAGTAATTTAAGAAACAAAATTTTAAACAGCCGCCATTTTGTTTTATGAATTTGAAAAATCGTCATAATTTTTTTGTAGCTTTGTCTAGTTGTCATAAATGTTTGAGCAAAGTTTCAACTTCGTATGTTTAACCAATCTTCAGAAAAAAATTAATAACTTAAAAAAACAAAATGGCGGCTATCTGAGTAAATAAGGACTTCCGGACAATTTAAATATGATATTTAGATATGTTTCTTACCCAGGAACAATGCCCTAAAATATTGGTAGAGAGTTCCGGGACACCCTGTATATATGTGTCTGTTAGCGCGATAACTCGAGCAAAACTCTTTCGATTTTGATGAAATTAGGTTTACAAACGTGTAAACCTGCGTTTATTCGAACGAGTTCGCGAACCAGCATGATCCGACTATGGGAACAGGTGTTTATGGGGGGTTTTATGTGTTTTTCCCATTTTAACCCTAAAAACTTAAAATTTAACATTTTCTTTCCAAACTACCGTCAACCGGGGTTAGATTGACCCCTTTTTTGATGTTTTTGTTGATTAATTTTTGATTATTTTGATTAATATTCACAATATATTTTTTAAATGATATACAGGTACTGTGTGAATACCTTTCAGTAATTATTTTGTTTTTTATGGTCATAGGTTACACTAGTCATAAAAAAAATAATAAAAGGGGTCAATGTTACAAGGCCTTAAAAAATAATTATTTCTATTAAATTTTCTTTATTTGCTTGTAATAAGTGCTCAAATATTCCTAAAACATATATATTTTACCATATAAAATCCTGACAGTGCCAGAACCAACAGTTTTTGCTGGGCTGAAAAAGTTTTAAAATTCACATGTTATTCTTATGGAGAATAAGTAAACTGTTGTAGTTTGCTTGTTTATGAACATATTTTGATCAAATTTGGAAAATGCATTCATTTCATTCTAAACTATTAGGCCTAACATTTTACAAAAAAAATAACACTTTTTTACCCTCCTTGTTGCAGCAAACCTGAGTACTCGTTAAATTAATGTTATTTATATAGGGTTATTTATAGGGTCATAATAGGTTTGCCATATAGGGTTAAAATAAATATGATATTTTTAAGGAGACATTTTTGTGTAAATCCAATCAAGCAAATGGAAATTCGCTTAGTCTGCAGGTTTGCTGCGGCGGGGTTATTTACTCTCTAGTAAAATCTGCCTACATTATATAACAGCACTTTTGGAATAAAATAAATGTTTGCTTTCGCAAATATTGTTATGCAATGACTGAAATATGCAACTCTCGTACTCTCCACTAAAGTTTTTTATTTCTTGGTTTCACTATGGCCGGCAACGTCCTTAGTTTTTCTTTATCGTCTGTTTTATTGCTCCCAGTCCTTCAATTTGCGTCTCCCGGCCAGTCCGAAGATATCCAAGTTCACTACCAAAGCCTAGCAGAGAGGGAGTGTTTTTTAACGTTATTTTTAGTGAGATGGGCAAGATGCAACATTTTATGCTTTTGCGTACCATTTTTGAACTTTGACAATGCAGAATACAAATATTGAACAGAAACGGTATGGATCATTAAACATAGCCTAAACAAAATATGCCACTTGCCTGAATGTCTACACTAATAGCTGTAACAACTGGTTTGAATGTTTTTTGACAGTTGTTCCATATTAATAAAAAAGTGTTTACTTTTGGGCCAGTGATGTCATTTTGTTTATGACCCATACAGTTTCTGTTACCTATAATATTTTTCCTATAAATTTACAGTGTACAGGTTTGCTAGCCCGTACATTTTTATCCAAACCACCATAGTAGGGGGCCGCCAGCTAAAATCTCCTTTTTTTACAAATTAACATATCGCAACCCTAGTTTTAGCCTACTCCAGTTTAGTTATAGACATACCTATTAGGCTATATTTCTTAAATTTGAAACCAAAGAATTAACCTGTTGAATTGAAATAATTCAAGTTTTTGGATAGTGATGAAGAAATGTAAAAAAATAAGGGTAGACCAAAAAATTAATTATTACTATTACAGCAACTAAATCCAAGTAGGCTACCTATTGATCCTGAAGATTCCAGTAAAAGTGAATTCATCTAGCCTACATAATGTTAGGCAGTTTATATTTTAATAGTATGTTTCGGCAGTCTCATAAAAAGAAGGAGCAAACCTTGGCAATGCTCGTTACCATCAGTTAATACCCATACCTACATGAATAAGCTTACCAGACATCTGTGAATAGGCCTATTGCGGATTGTCCCATTTATTTATATTTAATACCATCTTTTGTACACCTATAGGAATGGTCTGAATCTTCTTA